TCAGTTGGGGATTAATTTGGGGTCTTTTTTACTCTAACCTCTGAGAAGAATAATTTAGGCCGGTGCAAAATTAATTATGGAATCTGTTATCTCTTGCAATACAGCTACAAAGGCAGATCGACCGTTGAGGGATCAGAGATGCACAAAAATTCCCCTCAGTGGTGACCAATTAATTATCCCATTGTACAGGTCACAAACATTGAGGCTGAGAGAGAACAGATTCACACAAGTTCAAGCCTTTGCAGGGATTCTATTTTTAAAAAATCAATTTTGCTTCTTGAATTGTCTGAAATATTTAACCGTCTGTGTGGACAGATTGAAAATTAATCTATTAAAAATCCATTTTACTTCCTGAATTGTCTGAAACATTTAACTATCTGTCTAAGCCAGGGGTAGGCAACCTTGGCTCTTTTATGACTCATGGACTTCAACTCCCAGAATTCCTGAGCTATGCTGGCTCAGGAATTCTGGGAGTTGAAGTCCATGAGTCATAAAAGAGCCAAAGTTGCCTACCCCTGGACTCTAAGCAGACCAAAAATTGCCCAGAGATCTATTTCTAGATCTTGATCACCTTTGGCCTATCTTTTTTTCCTATGCCAGGGGTAGGCAACCTTGGCTCTTTTATGACTCGTGGACTTCAACTCCCAGAATTCCTGAGCCAGCCATGCTGAGGGGACAGGGAGAGGTTTCCAAGCTGAGCCATGCTGGCTGAGGAATTCTGGGAGTTGAAGTCCACGAGTCATAAAAGAGCCAAGGTTGCCTACCCCTGGCCTATTCCATGAAATGTTATAATAAAATGGTCTGGCCTTTAAAGCAGAGGGGGAAGAAGTAAAGAAATAGATCTTTCTTCCACCTGACTGGATAATGTACTGGAGAGGGCGTAACTGATATTATCCCCAGATTCTTTGGTTCTACTAAGGCAGCCTTCCCTTCAAATAACACTGGATCTGGAACCCCCAGAATTCCCCAGCATTTTGGCTGAGGATTCTGGGAACTGCAGTCCCTACGGACGCCAGATTGTAGAACACTACTACTGTATGCGGTGCCTCTTTGTTCCTTCTACCCCAAAAAACAGAACAAAAATCACCCCTTGCGTCTACTTTCAAATGTTGCTAAGCAAATTATTTTGCTCCAGCCGTATCACACTAGGAAAGAGCGCAACATGGAATTAAAAAAAAACAACAAATCTTTTTTTCTCTCTCTCTTTTCTTCAAGGTGTAATACAGGTAGTCCTCAACTTACAACAGTACATTTAGTGACCGTTCCAAGTTACAGCAGCACTGAAAAAAGTGGCTTACGACTGTTTTTCACACGTAGGCCCATTCCAGCATCCCCACACGGTCACGTGATCAAAATTCAGGCGCTTGGTAACTGAGTCGTATTTATGACAGTTACAACGTCCTGGGGTTCCAGTTTGGCATGCGACGAGACAGATGGAAGAAGCCGGGGCTCCGGCTTCCCAGCCCGATTTTGTTCTGTCCGGCGACCCCAAAGGGTCGGAAAGTTGCCCTGGGGGGGGCAACGAAGAAGGAGGGATGTCTCAGGAGTCCGGACCAGACGGCGGTCGGTCCAGGTGGATTGAAGAAACTCTCTGAAAGGACGGAGGAAAGGCTGCCGGGTGAGCCCAGGCAGCCCAAGTCGTCGCCAGCCAGAAGAAAAGCGAGGAACCATGGCGCTTTGCCAAACAGCTGATTGTCAACAGCGTGCTGAAACTGGGTGAGCCAGTTCTTTTTCCTTTTCCATTTGGATTTAAAAACGTTGATCCCCTGATTGGGAAAAGCTAAAAAGTAAAAACTCCAGAAGGACTAAGATTTAAAAGCGGCGAGCAACTACAAAGGGGGAAGATTTTTAAGGAATACAAAAGAACTGGCAAAAATTGAACTCAGATTGATTTAAAGAAAGACTATTTAATCTACAAGAGGTGGGGGGAAAAAATTAGGTATAATTTCAAAGGTAAATAGCGTACAATGTCCTGGGGTCATGTGATCCACTTTGGCGACCTTCTGACCAGCAAAGTCCATGGGGAAGCTGCGTTCACTTAACAACCGTGTTACTAACTTAACAGCCGCAGTGATTCACTTAACAACTGTGGCAAGAAAGGGCGTAACATGGAGCAAAATTCACTTAACAAATGTTTCGCGTAGCAAGAGAAATTTTAGGCTCAACTGAGGTCAATAAGTTGAGGACTATCTGTAATGGAAAGGGGTTCTTTACTTACCCAAAGATGTTCCCTTTTCACGACCGTCTTGCAGGATCTCTTTGTAAAAAGCTTTGGGGGCTGGGTCCAGCAAGGAGCTTTCTTCCTCAGTGAAATGCACAGCCAGCTCAAGATCCACCGATTCCTGAACAGAGAAGAAGCTCAAATTGTGATTATTTTATTTATTTGCATCCCACCCCCCGTACTATTTTTACAAATACCCTAAGGCAGTGAACATCTCCCACACACTTTTCTCTTATTTTCCCCACCACAACAATCCTCTGAGGTGGGTTGGGCTTCGAGATTGTGACTGGCCGAGAGTTGGCTTTCATGGCTAAAGGGGGAATTGAACTCGTGGCTTCCCACTTTCTAGTCTGGTGCCTTAACCATTAGACCAGGGGTAGGCAACCTTGGCTCTTTTATGACTCATGGACTTCAACTCCCAGAATTCCTGAGCCACCATGGCTCAGTTTGGAAACTTCTCCCTTTCCCCTCAGCATGGCTGGCTCAGGAATTCTGGGAGTTGAAGTCCAGGAGTCATAAAAGAGCCAAGATTGCCTACCCCTGCATTAAACCAAACTGGCTTTCTAGATTTGATCATTAAACATGGATTCCCCCATGAGATTTGCAAGCTGATCTCAAGAAATCCAGTTTCCCCTTTTCTTGTACTGCTTCACCTGGCAATCCACAGGGTAGGAAGCTTCCCAGTAGAAAAAACAGGGCAGAAGACAAGTACATAAAGTGAGTTCTTCCTGAAGAATTCTAGAGCTGGAAATGACCTCAAAGGTCATCTAGTCTAACCCCTGCTCAGTGCAGGATCTTTTAAGTCTTTTGGACCGACAGATATCTAGCTTCTGTTGAAAACGCTCTAGTACCTAATTGAGCCTGTCATCTTTCTCCGTACAGGTAGTCCTCGACTTACAACTATTTGTTTAGCGACCGTTCAAAGTTAGCAACCACGACTGAAAACAGCGACTTAGTCCTTGCACTTGTGACTATTGTAGCATCCCCGCGGTCACATAACCAACATTTCTACCATATATTGTGGTAACGTTCAGAAAAAAGTATAAGAAATATGAGCATTGTTACTCCTTTGCTGAACGTTCAGATACTAAAATACCTGAGAAGCAATGTCATTTCATCTATTTTTATAATAGTCTTCAACTTATGAACGGTTGCTTAGCAACTGTTTGAAGTTATGACGCACCACAAAATAGATAGAAGCTAGATTCCAAAGTTGCAATGGCAGGCAGACACACACCCACACCCACACACCCCATGTGACTAGTTTGGGAACTTGGCAACCAGGCTGCATTTATAGCTGTTAGCAATGCCTCATGGTGATCTGACTACAATTTACAATGTTTTTGCCCCAAACCAGCATTTACTTCCAGTTTCTGGTAAAAAACACACCCATCACGACTAATGGGTTCATTTAATAACTGCAGCGTTTGCTTAATGATGGCGGTGTTTGCTTTATGACCACTGCATTGGCTTAATAATCAACATGACTTGAAATGATAATTGTGGGCTCAATGACAGTTGTAAGTCAAGGACTACCTATCCAATATTGCCGCTCTTACAGAAAGCTGGTCACGAAGCCTCCCCCCCCCGCCAGATGTTTACAAACCTCAGTTGGTCCAGTTTCAACAATGTCTTGTCCCTTAGGCAGAGATACTGGATGGTTACAGGGGCTGTTCTCATCATCTAAGAAGGATAATAATGATGATGATGATGATGATAATAATAATAATAATAATAATAATAATAATAATAATAATAATAATAACAACAACAACAACAACAACAAAACAACAATAATAATATTAATAATAATAATAAAGTTGGAAGGGACTTAGTTTGTCAAGGACAGCATATCGTTTTCTGCTGTGAACGGACTGTGTTGCACAATGTGTTGCTCGTTTTCATGAACCATAATGAAAGTATCAGTGAGTGCTAAATTGTAAGGTAATCTTTACACACAAACCCCTCATGAGCTCCCGTGTTCACTCTCCGGAAGACATGTAATAAGCACTTTAAAAAAAATACCCAAACCATATCATCTAGTGCAGGGCTTTTCAACCAGTGGTACGGGTGCCACCTGTGGTACATTGGCACCTGGCAGGTGATACGCAACCATCCTAGAAAAGTGGTAGGAGGGGGAGGGGAATGAGCTGAACCGGTGGCAGCACCGCACAACCCTGAGCGAGAGATGGCTGGAGCGCCAGGGCTGTCAGGGCTCAGCGGAAGCGCCAGGATCAGCGCTTCTTCGGGGTTGTCAGGGCTCAGCGGAAGCGTCAGGATCAGCGTCAGGCTCCAGCTGGAAAGCAGCACGGATCCTGGCGCTTCTGCTGAGCCCAGAAGAAGCACCGATCAGCTGGAATGTTGCAGCATCTCCAGGGTCTTGTGATTTACATTCAGATGCTTGGCAACTGATTCATATTTATGACGGTCAGTGTCCCAGGGTCATGTGAAGTGACCAAAACCTGCTGCAACCACCCAGCAGACAGGGGGAATAAAAACCAAACACCCCCCCACCCCTGCTGTCAATCCTCAACAGAAATGCTCACAACAATGAAAACCTCGGACAGGAGGAAGAGCGCCACTGGGTGGGCAGGCAGGCGTCTTGCTCGGCTGTGGCTTGGGGGGCACTTTTTTCAGTGCCATTGTAACTTCAAACAGTCACTAAGCAAACTGTTGTAAGTCAAGGACTACCTGTACTTTATCACTTTTTCCCCTTTTGGCGGGGGTCATCAAGTTTTTGACATCTTGCTAGGCGATTGGTGGTACTCGGATATTGCCATATCCTAAAAGTGGTAAAATGGGTGAAAAGATTGAAAAGCCCTGATCTAGTGATTTCACAGCTAAGGGTGTGAAAGGATAGGATTTGGCACACTTAAATGTTTTCCTTGCATCAGACGTCAAGTCAGCGGTGCTAAATCACAAACCTGGATGTGTTGATCTCCAATCCTTCAGAATGTGCTCTTCATTTTCCACAAACGGCACTTCCCTTACAAGATTGCGTGCATCTCCTATCCTATCTTTGGGAGATACTGGCACCTGAAACAGAGACGGAAAAATCCAGTGAGATTTGAAGACTATGTTACAAAAACTATACTTTCACCCAGGTTTTGCGTGGTCTGCGCTGGCTCAGAATGCTTTAATTTCACAGCCTCACAATAGGCGTTCGTACAGAACCGCCATTTTTAAACCCCCAACAATCCTACGAGGTATGTTTCACTGAGGAAAAAAAGATCAGGAAAAGGTGGCACTTTTCGCGCCCAAATGGGGATTTGAACTCAGATCTTATCGTTCTTATCTAACAAAGTCAGTCTGTGAGATGGGCGATCTCTAAAATGGACATAAATAAGGGAGTACAGGTCGTCCTCAACTTACGAGCCCAAAATTTCTTTTGGTAAGCGAGACTGTTGTTAAGGGAGCTTTGCCTCATTTTACAACCTTTGTGAATAATTGAAGTTGTTAAATTTAGTATCATGCTTGTTAAGTAAATCTGGCTTCCCCCATTGATTTTACTTGTCAGAAGATCGCAAAAGGGAAACACAAAACCGGGGGGACACCGGGTCATAAATATGAGTCAATTGCCGAGCATCTGAATTTTGATCATGTGACCACTGGGATGCTGCAACAGCGACAGATGTGGAAAAATGGTCATGGTAACTTTGAATGGTCACTAAATGAACTGTTGTAAGTCGAGGACTAGCTGTAATAGCTGTTATTTAGTATAACATTCTTTCCATGACTCTCCCAGACTCCCCGTCATCTCTCACAGAGCTCTTTAAAGGAGGAATATAATATACAGGTGGTCCTCGACTTTCAACAGTTGGTTTAGTGACCGTTAGAAGTTACAAAGCCCTGAAAAACGTGACTTACGGCCGTTTTTTCAGAGTTATGACCTTTGCAGCATCTCCATGTGATCAAAATTCAGAGGCTTGGCAAGTGGTTCATATTGCTGTGTCTCAAGGTCATGGGATCGCCTTTGACCACCTTCTGACCAGCAAAAACAAGGGGGACGCCAGGTTCAATTAACAACCATGTTACTAACTCAGTGATGGCAAACCTTTTAGAGACCGAGTGCCCAAACCGCAACCCAAACCCCACTTATTTATCGCAAAGTGCCAGGGCCGCATCAGCATTGTGGTGCCCTCAGGGGGGGGGAGGAGGGCAGGGAGGCGCCTCCGAGTGCCGCTTCTGGCACTCAAAAACCAGGGGCGCAAAAACGGGCCACCGTGCTGCAAGGCGCAAAAACGGCCGCCACCGCACCGCGGGGTGCAGATACAAGGCGCCGTACCACGCAAGAACGGGGCAGGGCTAGTGAGTATCACGCAGGCACCAACCCCGCCCCCTTTCCAGCATGTGCGTGCTCGCGGCCCCGTGCGCGCATGCACGCATGTCAAATGCTTCCCCCTCCTTTTTCTTCCAGTCCACCAATCGACAACGTTTGGTGACCTCTGCTCTACCACCTCTACTCGAGCTTGCCAGTTGGCCTCTTCACCTCCTTTGTGCTGGGCGGGGGTCCTGCTCCGGGCGGCGGTGACGGCCTGATGGACCTGCTGCTGGTGGTGGTGGCACGCGTGCCAACAGAGAGGGCTCCGAGTGCCGCCTCTGGCATGCGTGCCATAGGTTCGCCACCACTGTACTAACTTATCAATCGCAGTGATTCACTTAACAACTGAGGCAAGAAAGGAAATAGGCTTGAATTATTGTCTATCCCAGATAATATAGATAACAAAGGACACTCCATTATTAAGGTGATGATGTATTAGGGCGAGAAATAGAAAATGTTTATGAAACAAAATAGGAATATATCTAAGTAAGTAATACGTGCATTTTAGACATTATAATTTTTACGTAGTGAGACAAAGGAAATTTGGGTTACCCGAAACTTAAAATACTTTGGATATTGAAGGTTAAATTGGAGTACTGTAATTAAAAACTAAAAATTAGGTAAAGCTTAAAAACAGGATATGGATATGTATCAGCAAAAAAATGTATTGATAAATGTGATAATGAAGCCTTAACTGAGTTTGATACAATTAGAAACTTACCAGCTTAAATAGGATATATTTATATATATATATTTAACATATTTAAATGTTAAGGGAAACAGAGAAGAAATATTTGATGATGTAACCTGAGATATGTACTAAAGATTCTGTTATTGAACTTTTGACTAACCCAGGGGTAAGCCACCTTGGCTCTTTTATGACTCGTGGACTTCAACTCCCGGAATTCCTGAGCCAGCCATGCTGAGGGGAAAGGGAGAGGTTTCCAAGCTGAGCCATGCTGGCTCAGGAATTCTGGGAGTTGAAGTCCAGGAGTCATAAAAGAGCCAAGGTTGCCTGCCCCTGGTAACCCAATCACTACGTTACTTTCCAAATATTCAAATATAAAACTGGAAAATCAATAAAACTTATATAAAAAACAACAGGCAAGAAAGGCCGTAAAATGGGGCAAAACTCACTTAACCAACGTCTCATTTCACAACAGAAATTTTGAGCTCAGCTGTGGTCGTAAATTGAGGACTACCTCCAATGTAACATATAAAGGTGTTACAAAGGACCGATGAATTCATCCCTTTTCCAATACCTCCAGACCTCACCTGCCGTTTCCATGACTTGGCCTCCGGTTGACTCATCAGGAACTCCTCCGCCAGATCTGTAGTCTGGACCCAATTCTCTGGGTCACACTCCCGGACCCAGCTCTGGATCTCTGCGGGAAGGATGGCCAGGAACTGCTCCAGGATCAGCAGCTCCACGATCTGCTCCTTGGTGCGTCTCTCTGGCTTCAGCCACTGGTGGCAAAGCTCCCGGAGGTGGCCGTAAACCCTCCGAGGATCTTCAACCTCCTGGTAGCGGAACCGGCGAAAGTGCTGGCGCTGGGCCTCCATTTTGAAAGCTGCCTCTCGCAAGATGGCAGCCTTGACTTTCCCATAATCCTCTTGGTCTCCGGTTTCTAGGCCATTAAAGGCTTCTCTGGCTTGTCCGCTCAGTGCCGGCAGGAGCCGGGCCGTCCATTCGGCTTTAGGCCACTGGCAAGCCTCAGCGACTTGTTCGAAGGAGATCAGAAAGGTCTTGGAATCGTCCCAGAGGTCAGAATTCCTCTGTCCACCAACTGAATGAGGGAGCCGCCTTGCCATTAGGGATTCCTGCCCCTGGCCTTCCCGATGCTTGGCCTGTCCTCCTTCAGGATCTCGTTTGATCTGTTCCGATGCTAGGCAGCCTGGAAACTCTCCAGGAACAAAGGCCTCATCAGGGGCCTTCCCCAAATTCAGATCCACCAATGGGTCTAATTGTTTCATCTTTGCATCCCGCACACAGCCTCCGTTTTCACGCAACTTCCTTTCCTGGCTAGAAATATTTATTTATTTAGAGGATTTATTTATTCATACGGCCACCTAGAGTCACGTTTAGTGACTCTAGGCGGCTTACAAACAATAAAAAAAATTCCAGTATAAAAAGAAAAAAAACAATAACACCCACCCCCCCCACACCCACACCCCTGGTGACAACAAGCAATCAAATCAATCTTTGCTCTACGTTTAGACTCTTCACCAGCCCAGAAAGAGTCCCCTTGCTTGTCAAGTTGGCTAAAGTGATTGATTTGAGGAAGGCAGCTGCTCTTTCATTGAACGGTGCATTTCATGTGGTGATCCGTAGGACAAACTGCAGCACATTCCAGAAATCCCCCAACAGATTTCACCTCTAGTCACGGAGGTATCCTGTAGAGAAAAGAGAAGAATTATTTTTAACTCCTTTGGTGGACTCCAGGTCCCATTGTCCCCTGCTATCAAAGATAATGGGGGAGGAAATGTTACTCTACAACACTTGGAAGATCCACATGCTCCTTTTTTCCTGGTACACGTTAGTTCTTACTTAAATGACAATTGGGACCGACAACTCCTCACTAAGCAACGCAGTCGTTAAGCGGACCATCACGTGACTGCGACAGGTTTAGGCCGTGCTTTTTTTTGTAAGAAAAAAGGTGCCGGAACTCACATCTTGTTAATCTTTGATTACAAAATTATATATTCAGTTCTTAACATAAATTGAATTTATTGTATTGAAGGCAAATGTTTATAGCAGGGGTGTCAAACTCAATTTCATTGAGGGCCGCATCAGCATTGCGGTTGCCCTCGGGGGGCGGGGGGGCGGCCTACTGGGTGGGCGTGGATGGAGTAGGTGTGGCCTACTGGGTGGGCATGACCAGCTCTACATCGTTCCCGCCAAGGGTGCCTGTGGGGGCCTGGGCAGGGGTGGGACAGATCTGAGGGTCTCTGGCAGAAGGGGGTGGGAATGGGGCAAGCGCCAAGGCACGGTCCATTTCTTCATTCCTCACAAAGGGTGACCCCTCACCAGCATGCACCCAGGGTAGGGGGCCGACGCGGCAGGGGCTGGTTCCTCGCTGTTTCCAGACGGCCTTGTGGAGCTAAGGCTGAATGCCTTTCAGCATAGTTGGCCACCACAAAATTGTACATTGGCTCCTTCCTGGCCGGCCTGGGCCAGGGCCAAGGCAGTGAGGGCCGTTCCCTCACTGTTTCCAGGATGGCTTCGCGGGCCACATGAAACCACTTCGCGGGCCGCATCCGGCCCCCGGGCCTTGTGTTTGACATGTCTGGTTTATAGTAAATTTTACACTAAAATTTTTTTAAAGATTTTAAATTCACCAATGATTTTTAAAAAATAAAGAAATTATTTACCTTTCGCACATAGTCAATCACTGTACAAATACCCACACACATCAGTTGTGTTAACAAAAGTCGCCGCCTGCAGTAAGCAGTCAGTGCGCGACCACATGACCTATCACAAGCTGAGCAGTGCTACAGGCCGAGCAGTGCCATCACAACCAGCTCCATCACAACCAATGGCATCACAACCAAGCAGCTCCATCACAACCAGCGCGGACAAAATACGTATGCATTGGACTCAACGTACAAGCAGCCCGCATGCACCGTTTTAATGATTTTGCTGCCGACCTGCTACACTCGACAGGGCAATTCAAGTCCACGTGGAGCAAACATCAAATTTTCAAAAGTTACTTTTAAAACTTGGAAAATCCATAGAAAAAAGGTGCCGGAACTCCATTCTGGTGCGTTCTATGACAAAAAAAAGCACTGGGCTTAGGGCTTCACTTCCACTGTGACCGTTAAGCGAATCACCGTGAACACTGAGCAAGACACCATGTCACCGCAATGGGCTTACGATATTACTTCCATTGCCGTCGTTAAGCAAATCGCCTTTAAGCAAGACATCACAACGGCTTGCAATTTTACTGTGGGCTCCTTCGTTGATTCTGCTTGTCGGAAGCCAAGCTGGGAAGTGGACAAATGGTGACCACAAGACACCACGAGAGTTGTACATTGTGAAGTGCCCGAGTCTCAATCACGTGACCGTGTGGGAATGCTACCATGGTCATTAATTATGATCGGTCATAAAATTGCTTTTTCAAAGCCGTAACTTCAAACCATTGCCAAAACTGGGCAGCTGTTAAGTGAGAACTACCTGTAGAGCAGGGGTGTCAAACTGCCGGCTCGCAGCCCGGACGCGTCACGCGGAAGCCGCGCCCGCCCCATTGCCATCAATGGCAAAACAGTCCCGATACGTTGTGCGACGTCACATGATGTCGCGAGTTTGACAGGTCTGCTGTAGAGCATCTTTTTCTCAATCCTTTATAATATAGGTCAGTGGTGGCGAACCTATGGCACGAGTGCCAGAGGCGGCACTCGGAGCCCTCTCTGTGGGCACACATGCCGTTGCCCCAGCCCTGCCTCCCCCTCATCAGCAGCCCCCCCCAGAGGAGAGTCACCCCCGGGTGCCACCCGGGCAGAGCAGCGCAGCCAAACATAAGGCAGCTGGGCAGCAGACGATGCTGCGGGGTGCAGGCGGAGGGCGGGGCCACCATGGCGCTGCAGGGCCGCCTGGGCGATCTGCGGCGGGCCGCGGATGGCCCTGAGAGCGGGCAGGGTGAGGTTGGAGTAGAGCGGGGTGGGCGAGCGGAGTGGGGGCAAGCTGGGGGCGGGACAGTTTTTGGGCACTTGGTTTGTAAAAGGTTTGCCATCACTGACATAGTTGCTGATGTGCTAAGAAGCTGGGATCTGCCCGACTCCTATTGGTTACTTCAGGGGGCTCCTGACATCTTCCCGCCCCCACCCTGTGTGAGCACCTTGATCCGGACCCCTGGTTCCCCAGAGGCGCCTGGTTCCCTGATGCTTGTCAGGTCTTATGGGGGCTCTTTCCCTTTAGGGATTTAAGGCTCTTTGGGAAGAAGGTCCAGTCCTGGGCTGCATGGAAGGTCAAGTGAAATGAGGAAAAAGATCCCGTTGTATCGGTTTCATGCTGCCAATTCCTCCACCTCCCCAGTGTACATTTGTGAGCATTCAGGTCCTTCCGCAACAAAGGGGGTTTCATTATTCCTGGTCCCTCCTGTGGGGGTCTCTGCCCTCTTCCCTTCCCAGCTCAAGGGAGAGCGGCTGAGTTTGGATCGGTCCCCGATTTCAGCCAAGAGCTCGGGCACAGCTGGAGAGAGAAGGTCAGTACAGGCAGCCATCAGCCTGCAACTGTTTGAAGTTACGACGGACCCAACTCACACACACACACACACACACACACACACACAAAAGGTATTTATGACCCGGATCCATAACGGGCAGACTCCATTATGGTTGTAAGTCGAGGACCACCTGAACGTATTTATTTTTATTTATTACTAGCTCTACCCGGCCACGCGTTGCTGTGGCTCAGTCTGGTTAAATGGAAAAGAAAGAAAAGAGAAAGCGCACGTTTGTAATATGTTTAATTTCACAATGCTTGTGGCTATACAATACTTTTTGTTGTTCCATTGTCTGTGCAGATATAGAAATTGTCTGGTTTGCCGACTCTAGAACACGCAACATATAATTATCCATGTGAGAAGCAATCCGTGTCTAGATCGAAACCACACAATTCTGAAGATTGGCCCTGAGCTTTGTTGATGGTGATTGCAAACGCCAATCGAATTGGGAATTGCAATTTCTTAAATTAAAATGGCATATCCGTTGGAATCATAGGAATGCGAGGAATGAGGACATCTTCACCTTTGAAAGGTCCTGTCAAGATTGTTGCTTCTATGACGTTGCTCATTAAAGCATGTTTTTATGCTTTAAAGAGCATGTTTTTACCTGTCACAGGTGTGACATCTATATAATAGTAGGTATATAAAAACATGCGCGTATTCGAATGCAACGTTGTGTCAAAAAGTTCAAAGCAATCAGTGAAGAACTTTCGGAGATTTAAGATTTTGAACAAACAAACATTTACATTTTTATTTATATAGATGAAATTTAGAAACCACCCATCTCACTCACAAAGTAACTGATTTGCCCTGTTTGGAAAACATTCATCCATCCATTTGGGTCCACCTGTCTTGTAAAACACAACGCAGGATGGGGGGGAGGTACACAAAAATGTTGTTGTTGTTGTTAGTTGCGAAGTCGTGTCCGACCCATCGTGACCCCGTGGACAACGTTCCTCCAGGCCTTCCTGTGCTCTACCATCTTCTGGAGTCCATTTAAGCACATGCCTACTGCTTCAGTGACTCCGTCCAGCCACCTCCTTCTCTGTCGTCCCCTTCTTCTATTGCCCTCCATCTTTCCCAGCATTAGGCTCTTCTCCAGGGAGTCCTTCCTTCTTATTAGGTGGCCAAAGTACTTGAGTTTCAACTTCAGGATCTGGCCTTCCAAAGAGCAGTCGGGGTTGATCTCCTCTAGGACTGACTGGTTTGAACACCTTGCAGTCCAGGGGACTGTCTTGGAAAACACAACGCAGGAAGGAGGGGGCGCACGACAATAATAGAACCAAAACCAACAGAATGGGTGCCTGACACACAAACACATTCCCAATCTCCAAATCCTCCAGTCCCAGCCTTACCCTGACCCAGGACCTGGGGGAAAAACAGCCCTCAGTCTACAGCTTTCTGGAAGGCTAGAAGGGTGGGGGGCCTGCAGGCTCCCCCCAGGAATGGGTCTTCCACAGGGCAGGGGCTGCAACAGAAAAGTCACACTTCCTGGGTCCCACTAGATCAAAGGTCCCCAATGTTTTGGGCACTAGTTTCACGGAAGACAATTTTTCCATTGGGGGGGGAGGGAAGTTTCAGGATGATTTAAGTGCATTATATTTATTCTAAATTTTCTAAACGAACAAACCAATAAATAATGCCCTTTATTTCTGAAGGGATCCAAATGTAACCTTTTATAACCCAGCCATTGTTCAGTCTTTGTTTGCGCCCTGTACTTTGCTCAGAGAGAACTTAAAATTGTGCTGAGAAAGAAAAAGCTAAGTTGTAACTTTAAATGTGTTTGCTAGCC